TGTGTGTGTGTGTGTGTGTGTGTGTGTGTGTGTGTGTGTGTGTGTCTCAGTGTGAAAGGTGAGGTGGTCTGCAGCCAGAATGACTTCAGGACCACCCTGTTCATCCCTGGAGAGGAGAACCTGATCCTGCTCAGTCTCAGAGCAGCTGCAGCCTCCAGGTTTCTGTTGGACCAGCTTCCTGCAGGTCAGTCTGGTACCTCTGCTTCCTGCAGGTCAGTCTGGTACCTCTGCTTCCTGCAGGTCAGTCTGGTGCCTCTGCTTCCTGCAGGTCAGTCTGGTACCTCTGCTTCCTGCAGGTCAGTCTGGTGCCTCTGCTTCCTGCAGGTCAGTCTGGTACCTCTGCTTCCTGCAGGTCAGTCTGGTGCCTCTGCTTCCTGCAGGTCAGTCTGGTGCCTCTGCTTCCTGCAGGTCAGTCTGGTGCCTCTGCTTCCTGCAGGTCAGTCTGGTGCCTCTGCTTCCTGCTGAGTAAAAAAAAGGTTAGCTGATGATGTCATCATGCAGCCGAGCGGTCGACACACCGTCACGTGGTTGTTCAGTGTTCCTGTTCTCACACATCTTTCATAGTTCCTGAGACACACCGCGCTGAGCTCCTGGAAACCCCTCTCACTGCAGTTTACGTCACTGCATGGGACTTCTTCTCAGGGGAGTCCAGTACAAAAAACCAGTCAGAGACTGGTCACTCGACGTTGTTTATCCACAAACTGGTCCTGGATAAGCTCCAAAGGATCAGTCAGGTTCCACTGTGAGAAACGTCTGTTTTATGCTCTTCTATGAAGTTTTGGCTGTTTGACTCTGTAAACAGCTGCTTCCTGGTAACAGTCGCTCTGCAACGAGTCACTGTTTAAAATTTTATTGATTTATTTATTGATTTATTTATTTATTGAAGCTAGTGGTTGAAGCAAAACGCAGCGTCTGAGCACTTTCAGCACAAACACTCCCACAAACTTCTGACCAGTCCCACTATATGGTTCATATGGTTCATATGTGTTCCTATGGTTCATATGTGTTCCTATGGTTCATATGTGTTCTTATGGTTCATATGTGTTCCTATGGTTCATATGTGTTCCTATGGTTCATATGTGTTCCTATGTTTCATATGTGTTCTTATGTGGAGGAGGTGAAAAGTTCCACCCACAGGTTGAGACAGGAAACCAGTATATTCATCATGAAATTGTGACAGTTCAGCTGCAGGATGGTGGAGCTGAAACCACAGAAACACACCTCACCTGGTGTCACCTGACCTCACCTGGTGTCACCTGACCTCACCTGGCTTAATACAGCTGTGTGTCACCTGACCTCACCTGGTGTCACCTGACCTCAGCTGTGTGTCACCTGACCTCACCTGGTGTCACCTGACCTCACCTGGTGTCACCTGACCTCACCTGGTGTCACCTGACCTCACCTGGTGTCACCTGACCTCAGCTGTGTGTCACCTGACAATGGTTTGTTTTTCATCCCACAGAAGCTGCAGTGGGACCAGATGCTTCTCTTCATGCTGCAGACGACTTCATGGAACTGGATCACAACCCTGTGGAGCACGTTGTGCTCGACCACATTTCGGTACTGTTTTTGTCTTGATTCATGTGTGACAATGAGCTGTTTAGATGTTTGTGTTACAGGATGAAACATGTTTGTGTTACAGGATTGAACGTGTTTGTTACAGGATGAAACGTGTTTGTTACAAGATTAAACGTGTTTGTGTTACAGGATTAAACGTGTTTGTGTTACAGGATGAAAGATGTTTGTGTTACAGGATGAAACGTGTTTGTGTTACAGGATGAAACGTGTTTGTTACAAGATTAAACGTGTTTGTGTTACAGGATTAAACGTGTTTGTGTTACAGGATGAAAGGTGTTTGTGTTACAGGATGAAAGGTGTTTGTGTTACAGGATGAAAGGTGTTTGTGTTACAGGATGAAAGGTGTTTGTTACAGGATGAAAGGTGTTTGTGTTACAGGATGAAACGTGTTTGTGTTACAGGATGAAACGTGTTTGTTACAGGATGAAACGTGTTTGTGTTACAGGATGAAAGGTGTTTGTGTTACAGGATGAAAGATGTTTGTGTTACAGGATGAAAGGTGTTTGTGTTACAGGATGAAAGGTGTTTGTGTTACAGGATGAAACGTGTTTGTGTTACAGGATGAAAGGTGTTTGTGTTACAGGATGAAACGTGTTTGTGTTACAGGTTGAGAGTGCTGCTCAGGTTGTCAGAGAGAGGCGTCAGGTAGAGAAACCAACACAACAGGATGAAATTTTACCAGCGGTACGAGTTTCAAACCTTTCTTTAATTTAATTGTTTTCTTTCTTTACAAACATTCAGATATTTAACACAACATTTTTATCATGTTTCAGGTGAACCTGTGGACACTTCATGACCAGTATTGTGTTGTTGGTGAAGAGAAACCCTTTAAATCAGGTCAGATTCTGCTCCAACATACACACAACTCTGATAAATACACACATACACATTAGAGTGTGAGTTAATGTTGTTTCTTATAAGTGTGTTGTGTTTTGTTTTACACAGCTGTGTGTTTTTGTGTATTTGTTCACAGGAAAGTGTCACAGCGTCCCTGACGGTCTGGATGAAGCAGGGAAAAGGAAAAGGAAACGAGCGGGCTTCCTTCAGAACTTCAGGACGTGGTTCAGAGGGAATTGTGAGACCGTTGTTTGTTCTTCAGTGTGTTGTTGTTTCTGGAGAGGTTCTGTCTCAGCTTCATGGTTCTGTTTGTTCTCCAGTTGATCCTCCAGAACAGAAGTTAAAGACTGGACCCACGTTTACAGGTGAACTTCAAAAACATGTCACACAAGCATAACTGTCTGCCTTTCTTTTATTTTGAAATGAACCTGGAACTTCCTGTTGTTTCAGACCTGAACTTTTATTTTGAAGTGAACCTGTAACTTCCTGTTGTTTCAGACCTGAACTTTTATTTTGAAATGAACCTGTAATTTCCTGTTGTTGCAGACCTGAACTTTTATTTTGAAGTGAACCTGTAACTTCCTGTTGTTGCAGACCTGAACTTTTATTTTGAA